CGGAAATCCATAATAATAATAATAATAATAATAATAATAATAATAATAATAATAATAATAATAATATAATAATAATAGCAAACATGTTGAAGTCTGTAGTGATATTGAAGTGAACATACTCGTATCATCTATCTGTGAAGCCTCGTCGCTACAAACCAAAACAACTGAATAATTTAGAACCGGGGGTTGGGGCTTAAAGGTGAAAGGGAATTAAATCAAGAATTTTACCCTGGAAAGAGTTTATCAAGAGTTATTGGACTTGTGTATAATCAAGGCCAAGGGATGAGAACTCTGATGGCCACTGGATAATAATAATAATAATAATAATAATAATAATAATAATAATAATAATAATAACAATAATAATAAAATGACTTTTTTTTATAATGCTCAACCCGATTCCATCTAGATCACTAAGATCAGGCAATCAGTATCTTTTAAGAGTTACTAGAAAAGGAGGTTCAAAAAATTCGCTGAAAGCTCGCTTGCTCACCTTGCTCCTTCAGTTTAGAACTCTCTTCCCCAACCATTGAGACATACAACATCTGAGTCTAAATTTAGAATATTTTTTAAAGACACATTTAATTATATCATTTTTATATCAGTTGTTTAATGTTCAGTACAATGTTATGTAAAAGACTACGTATCCATTGATGAATTTTGCGAACCGACTTGTGTATAATACAGCACTCAACCCCTATTAAAGTACGCAGGCTCTGAGCGCTTTACAATATAGTAAAACGTACAACAGTAACACAAAGCGTTGTTTTCTGACTAAAAGAAAATTAAATCAAATTTTCATCTGATTAATTTGAGAACAGAAATGACTTCAGCTGACATTTGAATGAAATCAAAGGATTTGATATCTCAGTACTTGACAAAGCATTCCAGTTCTTGGGACTTTGATATATATTCAAATGTCCTTTCACTCATTGTTTTAAGTTTCATAGATGGTTTTAAAAACAACAACTATTTTTGTCAGCTGACGCGAGTTGGAATATACAGTCTCAACAGATTTGATGAATATGATGGCATATTATCATTCAAGAATTCGGTCGCTTTTAAGCACAAAGGGGGGGGGGGGGCTATGGCGAAAAAAGCTGTTTTGAGAAAATTGAAGGTAATGTTTTGCTCCTTGTTCAGTTTCTTTAAAACACAAGGAGAGTTTTCTTTATAACCAAACAAATGTACGCAACACTGAAACCAAACTTCTCAATGCCCACTTTTGGTGAAGGTCAGGATGTCTGGAAACCCCTGAAATCTGGGTTAGCCCGCTTGTCTTTAAAAGAGACTTTTAGTGACCAACTTAATTCTTTTCTCAACGGGAAGTAATAAAATGTCCGTAAAAGAGGTGTAGTAAGCAGGATGGGACAATTGTAAAAGTAAATCAACGCTTTCCAGTGACATGCCCTTACTTTGAGAAAAACATGAATTATTGGAGAGATTGCTTTTGTGTGCTTGTGTGTGTATTTGTCTATGTGTGTGCTTGAGTGTGTGTTTGTGTGTGTGTGTATTTGTCTATGCGTGTGCTTGAGTGTGTGTTTGTGTGTGTTTGTGTTTGTGTATGTGTGTGTTTGTGTGTGTTTTTGTGTGTGTGTGTTTGTGTATGTGTGTGTATGTGTGCATATGTTTGTGTGTGTGTTTGTATATATTCATAACAATATGAGGTGAGTGTGTGTGTGTGTGTGTGTGTGTGTTTGTTTGTTTGTTTGTGTTTGTATATACATAACACATTGAGGTGAATATTTACACCGGCGTCGGTGGCATGGTGGTTAGAAGCTTTGCGTCACAGTTAAGGGACACGAGTTCGATTCCTTAACCCTTTTTTGTATGTTTTAGTAAGGTTTTACGGCACTTGCAACTGCATAAGGTCATATGAGCGCCAAGGCGTGGATGTCAACAGAGAAGTCCAAATGGGGAATCAGGGTTACTCTGCTCACCTCTCAAGCCTTAACAGCACAAAGTCTACTGTGGTTATCAAGACACCCCGAAAGTAGCAGTTCACAAGAGTGTGACAAACATACAAGAGAATTAGAGGGAAAATGACGATAGTAAGGATGAGGAAAGAAAAAGCAGCAGTTCCCCTATGTTGTTCCGGCACAGTATGAGCATGACAATGATAAATCAGTCCATTTATAATTCTGCTGTGCATAAGAACATGTTAATTTTTCCCCCTTTGTGAATGGCCTAAAGTCAACTGCAGTCACTGGCACTGCCCTGAAAGGAGAGGGGGGGGGGGGGATTGGACTGAAGTTTCAAATTTTTGTTTGGTCATCTTACTAGCCTACAATCTTTCTGCTCAGTACATGTGCCTAGTTTTGACAAACTTGACTTTAAAAAAACAACTGAATTTCACAAAATGTCAAGTTTTTCCGAATGCAATTCTTTGATTATCCTGGTAACGTCTTCGACGAATAATTGTACGATTTTAACCATCTTAACCATCTTGTATTAAGTATACTTACGACCTTAGAGCATGCATCAAAATAACATTGAGTGT